TGAAAAGGAGAGATTAGGAGACTTCATTAAGATTCACAAAATTCTTAATGGGATAGAGAGCTGGGATGGTACAAAGCTGTTTGACCTAGTGTCAAGAACAAGGGGAGATGCGACAATAAGATAAGCCACAGCCGGACACTACAGGAATTCAAGAAGGAATGTCAGTACAGAGGGAAATGTACATACAAAATAAACTACTCTATGCAGCAACAGGATCAAGAAAGAGTTCTAAGAAGAAATCAGACCTAATTTAGAAGACAAATAATATTACAGGGTTCACAGAGGCCTTGTCACCCTGAAATTTCTCACATAAAGTTATTGTATTTTGCGCTGCTCTTGTGTGTTGTTAAAATGCTATTTGCTAGGCTGCAAGCTTGCAACCTCCTCTCTCTGCACTGACTATAGGATAGCTGGAGCTGGATTAATCCAGCACAGGCAGATACAATACACAAGAGAGCAGCAGCCTCCCTGCTCAGTACAGAGTCTTAGAGTCCTTGCTTATTGAAAAAGGCTGAAATGATCCTGCCGCTAACATTTTGGTCTCATGTAAATAATAGATTGCCTGTCAAAGGACAGTTTTTTTTAAAGTAACTCATGTACAGTTCTGGGGAGAATAGACACAAAGACTGTACTTAGAAAGGTAAATAATAAACTGAGAAACAGTATGTATCTAGGCAGGCATCTTGGCAAGGTAGGGAGCAAAAGAGTGCCTGGGAAATCTCTGCGGCGGGTGTGAAATTTACAACAAATGAGAATGAGGTCTGTGTCTGAGGAATGCCTGATGCTAGCTCTTGTAACACTGTAAAACATGTAACACCAGTTATCCACATCACTGCCCCATTTCAGTAGTGACATTCATAGTCCTTATCCACATAAATACATAGGAATTAGCATACCAGATCAGACCAGTGGTCCCTCTAATCCAGTATCCTCTCTGGACAGTTGCCACTACCTGATCCTTCAAAGGGAGGTGCAAGAAACCCTGGACAATTATAGAACACTCTGCATGAGGGACCTTCCTCCCTAATCCACAACCATTAGTTTAGTGGTTATTTTATGCCCTGAAGCCTAAGGGTTTACATCCTTTCTAAAATTTATTTTTATCCTGTCTAAAGAAGTAACCATAAATGTTCTCAATATCCATATAAATGTCTAATCCTTTTTGAAATCCTACTAATCTCTTTGCCTCAATGATACCTTATGGTAATGAATGCCATATGTTAATTATGCATGGTGTAAACTATTTCCTTTTGTCATTTTAAATTTGCTACCTTTCAGTTTCATTGGATGTTCCTTGATGATCTAGTATGAAAAAGGGTAAACAGGAGCTCACAGTTTGCCTTCTCTTCTAGACCATTCATTATTTTATATAGCTCTGCCACAGAGGTTTTCAAACTTTTTCAGCTGAACCCCCGCCCACAGTTACAATTTTGGTTGCATCCCCCCAACCCAGAGAAAAACAGACACATGTAAAAGTATGCTTGATAGCTTACATAAACCTAACAGAGACCTTAACGCAACTTTAATTAAATTGCCTACATCTGTAACTTTCAAATACACAGATACTTACTATTGGTACAGCCAAGGCTTCCTCAGCAATGGGCTTCTTCTACTTCGCAGCGAGGTTGCACCATTAGGGCAGGGCCAATACCTGCCCCTCTGCCCCTCCCCCATCAGGTTTTCAGGGTGGGGGAAGGAGCATGCGATGGTCTCTTGGGGTGTAGCCAGCACTAGGCATGGAGGTTGTCGGGAGTGGAAATCGGCACGGCCATGGCAAATGTTGACACTGACCCACAGGCTGGGTGGCCCACTGAGGTGAGTCAGAGGGTGGAGCTAGCACTCCTTCCCTGCCCCCATCATGCAGGATTGGCATGAGCTGCCTGGTGTTTCCGCTTGCCCCCGCAATGTTCCTCCATGGCCCCATACGGGGGGGCACACTCCATAGTTTGAAAATCTCTGCTCTACCATGTCCTCTTATTTGCCTCTTCTCTGAACTAAACAGCCTCTGTGTTCTCTAAGGTATTTCTGAGGCTTCACTTGGGCCAAATATGCAGTGGTATAGTGTACCAGCATGTCTCTCAAGCTGCCTTCTTTTTCTTCAATGTCTCAGCTTTCATTGTAAAACAAAGATTACATGTCTAGCTATTATGGTTGAAAAGAAAATTTTTAAAACTTGAACAGAATGCAAAATGACATGATGACATCTGCCTGAGTTTGCAGAGAGTCTCAAATAGAGGTGTGAACTGTCCTATTTATCTCAACTGCCAATGATGCTACCATTGACTGAATGATGCCACTAATCTCCCTCTCTCCTCCCTCCCCAAATCAAGGTGCTGAGCCCAGCAAGGTACTTAATCTGAGAGCTACCAAGAGGAAGCCAACCCTGAGGAATGCCACGGAGACCGTGGGTGTATTTAAACCCCACTGAAGGGGAGCAGAGCCAAACCTAAAGAGTCTACAGACATGTGTGGTCATATTTTGATCCCCTGCACAATCTACTGAGAGCATTATCTTATTTTGGTGTGAAGTAGGTGGGACTTGAAGGAATACCAATACCTTTCCCCTCAACCTCTCCATTTTGACCCCTAGGTATTTCTAATGCACCCTCCCACATTTAAACACGTTAGTCCATGCAAACATGAGGAGGTACATGTAGAGCGATAGTCACTTGCTCTCTGCTGCTATTTAAACAGCAGCTTTTGGTTAACACCATACGTAGGAGAGGAGAGATGGAAAGTTGGAACCCAAAGGTTCCATGACAGCCAGTGGCAGCAGTCCAGAAGAGGAGAGGAGATGGGAAGGGAAGGGGAGAAGGAGCAACCAGGTAAAGACAATACAGGAAGTGGCATGGTCAGGTAAGGCACATGGGGAGGACAAGGTCAGAGACAAGAAACTCAACAGAATAAAGGAAAAGGGGAGACAGTGAAATTTTAAAAATGACCAGAACCAGGTGGAAGTATGAAGGAGGAAAAGGGGGGGGGGGGAAGAGAAAGGGCCAGCCAAAGAGCTTTTATACACACAGTCATTGCACCAGTTCAACTAAAACTATGATGCTTAAACCCATGCAATTGTGTGTGTCAACACTACATGGCTTACATCTGTTGAGCTTGCCTCTGTAAACTGATGTAAGCCAGGCTTAAACTGATGTATTACATGCATCATCCCTTTAGTTAAGCTGGTGCAACTTCCATTTTTAACCTAGGTCTCAGGTAGCAATTATATCTAGGTCTTATATGGTGCTTTTCATCAGTAGGTCAAGATCATTATCTCCATTTTACAAAGGGGGAAACTGAGGTGCAGAGACGTGAAGTGACTTGCTCAAGCTCACCCAGTAGGCCAGTGGCAGAGAGAGAGCAAGCAAGCTCCTGGCTGTGGCTCATTGCACTGGGAAGGTGAGAAGAGTGAATTACCACCTGGCCTATCTTTTGCTTAATATTAAAATATATTAGAAAATGTTTCTTTTTCTCCAATGCATTAAGTCAGGCTTGTGTCTCAGATACTGCTGATGCACCCACGCACCAGCTTGAAGATCATTAGTTTAAATGGGGGGGGGGGGTTTACATTATTTACAGGGCAACATTAGTGAAGCAGAAGGATGATGCAATGTGGCATGAGGATTTAGGTGGCACGTCTAGGTTTACTAGAAGAGAACTATCATAGACTATCAGGGTTGGAAGGGACCTCAGGAGGTCATCTAGTCCAACCCCCTGCTCAAAGCAGGACCAATCCCCAGACAGATTTTTGCCCCAGATCCTTAAATGGCCCCCTCAAGGATTGAACTCACAACCCTGAGCTATACCTCCCCCCCCAGCCTGCCTGGCTGCAAAGAAAAGCCTGAAAACATGAACCCAAGTGCACCCTAAAAGCTCAAAACCCAAAAGGCAAAACAGAGACTCTCCCACCCCTTCACAGATTTGTTAAAGTAATGATTTCTTTTGAAGACTGATTCCTGATTTTTGAACACTTGGTATGAGCAATACTGACTAGTCCTCTCCTACATGATGCCCCTCTGACCTCCTCCCCCGCACCGGCACCGGCTGCATCACCCATGTGCTCTGCTACCTGCACCTTCCTAAATCACAGCTTAGCCTTCAGCACCCCTGGCTCCCCAGCCCAGAAACTCCAGCCGCCTGCTCCCCCGCGCCATTGGGCAGCCCCCCAGCCCAGGCCAGCTTCCAGAGCCCTCCCCCCGCAACTCCCCAGCCACTGCGAGCCCGCCCCAGTGAGCAGCGAGCCGCCACCCCGCAGGGCGCAGCACCACTGGGGGGGGGGTCCGAGTGCGCCCCGAGCACTGGTGCCTGCGCCTCTCGGCGGAGCCACGGCGGGCAGCGAGCCGGCTCCTGTTGTTGTGATGAGAGCCCGGCCCCGCCCCCTCCTCGTGCGCGGCCCCGCATCGCCGGCCCCTTTGCTCCCCAAGCCCCGCCCCCTCCCTGCCTCTAACTTGCTCGGCCGCCCCCAGCTTCGCCCCGTCTCCTCTCCCGGAGGGCCCCTCCCCTCTTTTGTCCACTCCCCAGACCACGCCCCTCCGGCCCCGCTATCTCCCAGTCCCCAGCCGCGCCCCACTCAGACCCCGCCCCTTTCCCAGGTGGCCCCACCCTCTCCCTCTAAGCACCACCCCATTCCATAGGCCACGCCCCTCCCCCCCTCCGAAGCCCCCTCCCCTCCCCCCGGCCCCATCTGTTTCCCCGGCGGTGCGATGGTTACATTGTATGGAGAGGGCAGCAGCGGCGGCGGCGCAAGGAGGAGGAGGATGGGTCCGCGCGGCGGCCGCCAGCAGCAGCTCCCCCCCGTGCAGCAGGGGCAGCAGCGCCACCGCCGGCCCTAGAGACCCCCGAGCCGAGGCGCCAGCCCGGAGCCCCATGCGCAGGCGAGGGGGCAGCGCGGGGCCGCCGCTGGTGCTGGGCTGCTGCTGCTGAGCGGAGCGCGGAGACGGAGCGGGAGATGTGCCCGGAGGAGGACGGAGGCTGCGGCGTGGTGGGGACCGGGGGGCCGGAGGGGCTGGGCGAGCTCCGCTCCTGGTGGGAAGTCCCGGCCATCGCTCACTTCTGCTCCCTCTTCCGCACCGCTTTCCGTCTGCCCGACTTCGAGATAGAGGTGAGCCGCGGAGGGGAGCGGGCCGGGGACCCGATGGTACCGCACCCCCTCCCCTTCCACAGGGCTGCCCCGGAGCAGGAACCCTGCCCGCGCCGCAGCCCCGTGTTCCCGGGCAGCTGCTCTGCCTTCCCCGCCTGGTCTCGGGGTTGAGAGGGAGCCGCTGCCCGAGGTCCTGGGGGGCTGGGCGGGGAACTCCCTCGCGGTCTCTCGCTGGCTGCTCTCGGGCTGCGTGGGGTGTTTAGGGAGCGGCCCCTCTGCCCTGGGGAAAGCCGCCGCCCCCTCCCCGCAGCCCGGGCTTGGTCCCTGCTCCGTGCCAGGGGGTTGAAGCCGGATCCTTGCTGGGCATCCCGTGCACATGGGGAAATTTGTTTGGCGAAGACTTTGCCCCAGGAGTGTCTGGCTGGAGCCGGTCCCTGCAGCCCCGGGAGACCGGCGATGCCAAGCCTGGATCCGGATCTGAACTGCCTCCAAGTCCCGGGGACGGGCCGGATCCCGCTTCGCTTCGGCCCGTTCTAGACAGACCTAGAGCCGCGTCTGCTCCCGGGCCGCCCAACCCGCACCCCGCGACAAACTTCGGGGCAGACTAGAGCCGGGAGCTGCCTGGGTGCCCACCTCCCCCAGGGGCTGCTGATTGATGCCAGGCATGTGGCTGCCTGCTCGCCATGAGCACAGACCCCTGCAGAGGGAGGCTGCTTCCCCTCCCCACACAGTCTAAGGCGAAAGATCCGGACTGTACCCTCCTAATCTCTCTCCTCCCACCCCCCTCCCCGGCCCTACCGCTGTGAGTGAGGCTGGTGTCCCCTCGGACGGCTGGCTTGGAGTTTGTTGTTGTGCCACCATTATCCCTGCGGGGACCGGGGAGGGGAGGGGAGCTTGGCTTCTCCCCGGCTGTGCGTGGAGGTGCCACTGCCCCAAGGCTTTGTGACAATTGAACTCAAGCCAGAAGGGTCTACGCTACAGAGGCTGGTTGTGTGTTAGTTATTCCCGTCTCACGCTTCCCCTACGGGCTTAGCTTATTGTGGGGAGAGGTGTTGTTTTGGAGGGTGTCGTGTTGAGACAACTCCAAATGTCGGCAAATCACCTTAAGGGTTTGGAACAAGTAATGGTGATGATGATTTTTGTCCATCAGTGCGTCTGAGTATAGCACTGCAAACTATCGAGTCAATTGCTACAGTCTTAGTTACAGAAAGAAAGAAAAAAATAATTCTCTGTTGTAGAAGCAAATTGCAATGCGAGTTCTGCTTTCCTTATCCCCCATTCTTAATGTTTTCTAGTAACGTTTTTTGGCTAGTTCTTTACCAGTATATTCATGGCTATTCTTACTTTTGTTTAAAAATTAAGTTTTAAGTTATTTTGATGTAGTCTTTAAATTGTTTGTTTGTTTGTTTTTGCCCAGTGTCCATAAACGTTTGAAATGCAGTACCACTTGCTGCCTTAATATTCTAAACTATAGATTAAGTGTGTGAATTTGTGTGTGTTTCAGAATTCATGAAATGTGGAGAATAACGAGATGAAAAGAAGGGAGGAATGAAGGGTGTACCCCAATAGATCTTCCAGGGCCTCTAGCTTTTACTCCCAAGATCATAAGCTGCTTAGACCAATGTGATTAAACCTGGGGTTTTCCATCTGTTTGTAACAGATGTAACAACTTTGGTGTTTCTCTGATGCTTTTTCAAACTTTAAAGTGTACATCAAAAGCAGAGGTTTTGCCAAGTAGCAAAGATGACTTCTGAGGGTTTTGTGGGAAGGATGCATGAGTAAAATATAGAGTAGATGGCTGGGGGAAGGGGGAGCTGCTTGGTGAAAAAGTGCAATGGTGCAATATGGTAGTGAGGAAAAATATTAAAGTGAATGGAAAGGGCATATTAAAGAAATTGAGAGAAACAGCTTGAGATCTCATAGGAAACCAAGATATTTAGGGTCAGCAACTACCCTCACATACTGATCTATCAAATAAATTATCATAACACTGGGATTTTATCATCTGGTTTTCTATTATAAAATATAGTGCTAGTGTTGGAAACTTGCACAGTGCTTTGCAGAATATAAAATGTGTTCCCTTCCCCAGTCACTGCCCAAAATGGTGGTTGTGATAGGAGGAGCTTGTCCTGCAGTGACCTACACTGACTAGTGTCACCCTTGGCTGTAGACATACAAGAAGACCATGGATGGGGTTGGAGTTAGGCAGAAATGAGCATAAGTTGAATACAGTTAGGTATGTTCTGTTGAAATGTTTTTGTGCAAGAAAGTATGCAGCATTAATTTTAAGTTGTGTTAGGCCTCTTCTGCTAAACGGGTAAGAGTCTTCCTGCCTGGACAGTTTTTTCTTTTTGGTGGGGTCGTCGTGGGGGATGTTGGATGTTTTAACTTAATGGTGGATGATGCCTGTTTTCATGATTTGAAATGTTGAGAAATCCTGTTGGGGTAGATGGATGCATTAGGGGAACATTTATGTTCATTGTGCAACTTCCAAATAATTTCTGAAGTGATCTGAATGGAGTGCCACAAGCACGTTGTCTCTCTGCAGTGCACTATTTTCTAAATTGAAATATATTTTCAGATATATATGTATGGTTGTGGGCAGTGTCTTGTAAATATTTTGTATTTTGGGTGGTAAATGCTGCAACGTTTGGCACAATAAGAAATTTTTTCTGTTTGCTTCTAAATGCTATCTTGGTAGCATATTGGCAGTAAACTGAGAGAACAGTAAGCTGGTGAGTGTTTTTTTAAGACAGTAATTGCCCCATGAATGTGAATTCGAAAGGCCCCTTTCCAGAGATGCTTAAGGTTCAACAGGATGTGTGAATTCTTAAAGGGCAAAACTCCTTGAGCAGGATGTGAATTTCTGAAGAGGGGGAATCCCGTATGCAGTGTGAAATCTTGAAAGGGGAGAAGGTCTCTCAGTGATGCAACTCCTTTGGAAAGGGAACTCCCCTCCCCCTCCTATTGATGCAAAACACTAAAAGGGTGGGGTGGGGAGGCTCTTTGGTCCAGCCTTGTGAAGTCTTCCAAGGAACCTAAATTTACAATGACAAAAAGCCAACTCACTAGCATTTCAGCTTAGCAGGCAATTGGCATCTGGCTTGCCTCACCAGTGAAGTGAATTTGAGCTCCACATCAGTTCCTAGAACTTGCTTAGGGTGGGGAAGCTAACATCACCTGGAAAGAAATTGGGAAGGAGTGTCTTATGTCTTCACTAAAAATGCTGCAGTGGCTGGACTGCATCTGCGACATTGTAGCGCTTCAGTGTAAACATCACTACAGGAACAGGAGGGGTTATCTGGTCACTGTAGTTAATCCACCTCCACAAGAGGCAGTAACCGTCTACACGGGGGGTTAGACCGGCTTAACATCTCTCAGGAGTGTGCTTGTTTCTAACCTTAGAAATATTATACATATCCAGTCTGGTTTTCCCTTGGTTTTGCTGAAGGACGTTATGGGGTGTGGAGGAGTGTCTCTGAGATGTATATTTTGGTCTCTCGCCTTAATTGAAGGGGCACTGGTGTGCACTTTTCCACAAAGAGATCCTTTCTTCCAAGTGGTCATAGGACACTAGTGTTTATAAACAGGTGTTATCAAAAAATAAACAAGCAAGCAATCTGATTAAGGGTTAGTCCACACTTAAAGTTTTATTGGCCTGCCTATGTCAGTGATGGGTATATTTTTTTGTTGACATGATCCTGTCACTAAAAGCCCTCGTGCAGATGCAGTTAGATGCAATATAAGGTTCTTTACATCGATATAGCTTAATTTGGTTTCCCAACCAGTATAAATTATACCAGTATAAACATCCTTTATAACTGTCTACACTAAGGGGAGATTTGCAGTTTAAAGTTTTCCTGCTTTGACTGTAGTGGCATAGTTAAAGTGTAGACAAGTCCTAATTCTGTGTTTTTATTTTTAAATCCCTTCCTTTCTTAATTGCTGGGTTTCAGTCTCTTGCAATGTTAGATTTCACTAGTTTTCCAGTCAGCATAAAGTTTCCTGGGTAGACAAAATCTGAATTTCTAACATTAAAGGTTTTTTTCCCTGATTTTTTTTAATGTCTTTATTCATCATAATAAAAAGTAAAATCAGACACAGGCAAATTTTTCCCCTTTGTATATCATCTTTAATTGGAGTACAGGGAAGGATGGGAGGAAGAGGTAGCCTTATTGTGTAGATTGCTTGATAATTCTTGGAAAGCTCTCTGTGATTTTGGTACAGTGATACATCTGAGCTCTTTTGTTTTTCTTTTTAAATGCAAACCTCTTGCCCTGTACTTACTGAACTGAAAAAAAGTGAAGCTTCCAGATGTGGGCTGCCATCAGCAGCTGTATGTGTCAGAAACCTGGGAAGCAGATGTTTTGTTTTCTTTTTCCTGGACCATTGCATGGTGAGAGGCTGGAGAAGGGGAGTGGGTTTATGAAGCTGGTTGGCTCAGATAAAGAAGTGCATCCATCAGGCCAGGCTCTGGGTATTGTTATGGGAAGGGCGGTGTTGAACACCAAGCCCCCATGCTGGCTTCAGCAGATGCAGTTGCCTGACAAGGCACAGGGCTCCTCTTTTCAAATCTACACGGCATCACACAGCAGTGGACTCAGGAGGGGTTCAGCTACAACCAGGTCAAAAGTTCAGTGGGGCATGAGCGAGTGCATATGTGTGCTTTGGAACATGTTTGGGGTCATGCAGAATTTTGCACACGCTTTTGTAAAATTAGGATACTATATACTGTTTTTGAGGAACAGTCTGTGAGCTAGCTGTTATGTACAAACTTGTATTCCCCTTTAAAAATCAAATTATTTTATTTTCTTGCTATTGTTAACATTGGCAGCACACTGAGAGTTTGCCCTCTTCCCCTCAAATATTAGTTTGGAGTGAGGGGGACTGACCACAAACCCCTATTGCAGAGGTTATCAACTTTCTTCCTAGGCTTTGTGTTGACATGCAGAAAAGGTGCTTTCTGCAATCATATTAGCTAACATGAATGAAGAAAGCAATTCTTTCCTCCCTGTCAAGAT